ATTGGTCTTTCTGTCAAGGTTCTGTCTTGGAAACTTATCCATGTAGCTCTAGTTCATTCATTTTGTCTGCTGTCCTGTGCACCGAGGCCCAGTTTATCTTTGACTGGGCACCTGCTGGGCCCTCTGTTCTTTTTCGAGGTTCGACAGTTCTTTTGCAGCCCTCTTGCACACACATGAGAATTTCTCTAGGGCAGTTTTTAAACTGAGATATGATCCGATAGGTGGGTGGTGAAATAATTGAGGTATGTGGAGACCAGCATTTTAAAAACAGAATGGAATAGGATAGAATATCAGAGTCCTAACATAATTGCATTATGTCTGAAGTGAGTACTCTTTCCAGCCGCTTCTGGTAGGTATGCAGGTAAAGGCCCTAGGGTGGCAGGTAGTGTTGGTGCCTCAGGGGACCCACAGAGCCATCAGGGCCTTGGCCACGTTCTGACCTGGTTAGGAAGTGCCCACCACTCTCCAACCAGCTTACTCAGCAGTGCACGGTCATCCCCATTTCCAAACATCTTTGCCTGCACTTGGTTTTCTGGGGTGTCTTGATTTTTGCCCATGTGTTGGGAAATGATATCTCATTTTAATGTGTAGTTAATCTTTTAAAAATTGTGGTTAAGTTTCAGTTAACATAAAATTCATCATTTTAACCATTTAAAGGTCTATAATTTAGTGGCATTTAGTGCAGTCACAATGTTGTGGAACCATCACTACTATCTAGTTCCAGAATGTTTTCGTCACCCCAAATAGAAGCCTTGTACCCATTAAGCAGTCACTCCCCATCCTCCCCTCACCCCCACCCTTGGCATCTACCAGTCTGCTTTCTGTTTCTATGAATTTGCCTGTTCTGGACATTTCACATAAGTGGAATCATGCAATGTGTGGCCTTTTGTGTCCGGCTTCTTTCACTTAGCATCATGTTTTCAAGAGTGGGGGGCGACTGCTAATGGGTATGAGGTTTTGCTTAGGGTGATGAAAATGTTCTGGAACTAGGTCATGGTGATGATTACACAACTTTGTAAACATACTAAAAATTTTTGAATTGTATACTTTAAATGGTGAATTGTATGATATATATGAATCATTAAACTGTTAAAAATATTAGCATGTTTTTAAGATTGGTTTATAACACTCATCCATAACTTTCATCCTTTTTAAGTTTACAATTTGATGAGTTTTATCAAATGTATACACCTCACTTGTGTGGCAACTAAGATCAAGATATGAGACATTTTTATCAGGCTAAACCCGCTTTCTTGTGCTGGTTTGCAGTTGGTCCCCTACTTCCACCCCCAGCCCCTGGCAGCCACTGATCTGGTTTCCTTGCTCCCAGTTTTCTCTTTTCCAGAATGTCATATAAATGAAATCATATAATGTATAGCTTTTTGTGTCTGGCTTTTTTTTTTTTTTTAACTGAGGGTAATGCTTTTGAGATTCATCCATGTGAGGTATTTATCAGTAGCTGGTTCCTTTTTACTGCAGAGCATGGATGCATGGCAGTTTATCTGTTGATGGGTATTCAGGTTGTTACATACAGCATTCCTTTAAAAACATATATATATATATATATATTTTTTTTTTTTTTTAAAGATGACCAGTAAGGGGATCTTAACCCTTGACTTGGTGTTGTTAGCACCACGCTCTCCCAAGTGAGCTAACCGGCCATCCCTATATGGGATCTGAACCTGTGGCCTTGGTGTTATCAGCACCACACTCTCCCAAGTGAGCCATGGGTTGGCCCTAAATAAAAAACATATTTGTTATTGGTGGACATTCAGGCAAGCCATGATGTTAAAGACTTCCTAGCCTTTGCGTAGGCTGTGTCCTCTGCCTGGAACTCCTTCCCCAGCCCCTTTTCTTTTTTATTTTTTAATACCCAGCTCAGAGGTCCCCTCCTCCAGGCAATCTTCCTGACTGCCCAAGAATGGGTTCAAAGGGTCCATTTGCCTGGATGGGAGGGGGTGGCATCCAACAAGGGCTCACCTTGGCACTGTCTCCCAACTTTGTGTTCCAGGGCTATGATCTTTGACCTTGGGGGTAGGGATAGGGACAGGATCACAGAATCAGCTATGTTAGGCAAAAGGGTATGAGCTTCACCAGAGCTGTTATCTAATCAGCTGCCTGGTCCAGATGCCTCTGGTCTGGTGTAACTGAAAGAAAGTTGTCCTGCTGATCAAAAGCGGGTCAAAGTCTTGTTCTGCCACCAGGGGTGGGGGTGGGGCAGAGGAGGAAGGGTCATGCCATGTCAGGTGATTATGTGGCTGACCGTTTGGATGCCTTGGAGTCCAACAGACCCTCTTCTAAGCACTTTCCCTACATGAACTCATTTAAATCTTTGACAGCCAATGAGGTGGATGCTATCCTTATGCCCATTGTAGAGATAAGGAAACTGAGGCTCAGAGAAGGTCAGTGACTTCACCATGATCATCCAGTCTGAAGGGGCAGATCTGGGTCACTGGAGATTCCCTGGGCAAGTGCCGGATAGATGGGCTGGAACTCCAGAATTCACCACCATATCGAAAACTTTCCTGTGCCCCCTTCCCCTTTCTTTGGTGGTAAGGACACATAACTTGTGGTCTACCCTTATAGCACATTTTTCAGGGTACTGGGTATTGATGTTGTGTTTTCTACTGGCAGAGCACCAGCAGAAGCCAGGCTGGGGAAGGCCCAGGAGATTAGGGAGTTGCTCACATCACAGAGCTGGTAGGGACGGGGCAGGATTTGAACCCAGCCCTCATGTCACTAAGCATCTCTTGGACTCAGTTTACCCAGGAGGTCTGAGTCCTGGGGCCTGACTGAGGGAGGGAAAGATGTGTGCGTAGGTTTTCCTCTGTACTGTTGGCTCTGAGCTGAGCCCTTATGGACAGACGGTGTGGACGCAGTGAGGCTGGACTGGACGCCATGGCCCCTCCCCTCTTCTGGAGGCAGCTGGCTTGTGCGGGGAGCTCTAAGGGGGCTGGTCCCCTCCTGGGGGCATAGCGTTTGGTAGACACAGGTGTGCTCATCCTTCTTGCAAGCCCCTTCCAAGGTAGATATGATCATTCCCAATGCTCAGGTGAGGGGGCTGATGTTCAGAGAGGGGAGGAACTGGGCCCAGGGTCACACGGCAAGTGAGTAAGTGATGGATTTGCACTGAGGCCTCCCTATGACTCTGGAGTCTCCCTCCCTGGAGCTGCGTTGAGTCTAAACTCCTGGGAGGGAGAGTGAAGGGAGAGGTTCATCATTCATTCATTCAAAATCTCCCCCTGCCTAGCTCTGTCCCTGGCACTAGGATTTAGCAGTGGACAAGACTGCAGATCCCCACCCTCATGGAGCTGACATTTTGGTAGGGGGAGGTCATGCCTAATAATGAAGACCATTTCGGGCCCTTGTTAGTGCTGTAAAGAAAATATAGCTGCAGAGTGCCCTCTGTTGGGTGGTGCTGGGTGTCTTAGAGAAGCCTGGGAAGCCTCTTGGAGGATGTGGCATCAGGGATGTGATGGCCACTGAGTGTGCAAAGGGGCTGGCCTGTGCCGAATAGGGTCCCCAGTGGTGTAGGGCCTGTCCCTGGCAGAGGGACACGCAATGCACAGGCCTTGAGGCTGTTGAAGGTCAGTTCAGATGGAAGGCTAGGACAGGCAGAAGGCCTGGGTGACCGGCTTCTGTGAGCTGGCACCTGTGAGCTGTGGGCAGGGCCCGGTGAAGGGGTTGGGCTAACCGAGAGGGTGGGGTCTCTCTGGATCCAGCTCTGTGTATTGATTCTGGCTGTTTGGGATGGGGGTGTGAGGGTGGGGGATAGCTGTCCTTGTCCTGGAAGGCCATGTTTGAGAGAAGGGGGAGGGTGATGCAAGCCACCAATGCCACCTCGCTTTATGACATCAGATGTCTGATGGACTGGGTCACTCCACCCCTCTGGGCTGTGAGGGGATGTGTGGGGCCAGTGATGTGGCCAGGCTGAGTTGGGAGTGAGGATTGGGGTGGACTGGGGGACTCCTCTGGGACACTGGGGTTAGGGAATTGCAGATCTGGAGAAGCAAAGCAGCAGTCAGAGGCCTAGTGGACTTCAAACCTGTTTCCTTCAACCTTTCAAGAAAATTAAGTTTTTGCCAAGCTTTATAAATCAAATGTTTCATATAAATTTCTGAATTTCTGGCTGGGAAACATCTCTCTTCTCATCTCCTTCTGCCTTTGCCCCTGGCATGCTCAGCTCTAGCCACACTGGCCTCCCTATGGCCCTCAAACTCTCTTTAAACACCTCGCTGCCTCAGGACCTTTGCATGGGCTGTTGCTACTGTGTGGAGTCCCCCTCCACCTCCCAAATTCACGTGCTTCCCTCTTTCACTGCCTGCAGTTTCTATTTTGGATTTGGCTTCTGTTTGCATTTTTTATATCTCACTTACCTGGTGACTCTGTCTAAAATTCAGTTCTCTTCACCATCCCTGTTTGCTTTCTCTGCACTCTGTCACATGGCACCGATTGCACCCTCATTGTTTAACACCTGCCTTTCCCCTGCTACAGTCAAAGCCCCACATAGTTGGGGATTGGTCTGTCTTGTTCACCCAGCTCTTAGAACAGCACCTGGCACATAGTAGGTGCTCTTACATGCTTGTTGAATGAATGAATGAATGAATGGATGGATGGTACATTTGGCCCCATGGAGCTCACATTCCTACGTGGTGCCATATGCTGCCACTCAGCAGCAGCCACCTCCTTTAGAGGGAATGAGGGGATCCCATTTGCCACACTCCATTCACTGGTGTTGGCTATTATTATTAAAACACAGTTTAAAAAATAACAGCATGAATATTTAACTATTTAATTTTATAAACTCCAGGTACTAGAGCTGTGTGTATGAAGGGCTTTTCCTCCACCTCCTGTCCCCAGAGCCCGCACCTGAGGAGCCCCTTCCCCTTCGTGCCTGTGGGGTCCAGCAGTGCAGGCTGGCTTGGGAGAGCTGTTCCACAGCCGTGTGGTGGGGCCCCCTCCACCCTTCTCATGGGCCCGTTTGTCTCATCTCCCTGCAGAATGTGCGCATCGACCCCAGTAGCCTGTCCTTCAACATGTGGAAGGAGCTCCCCATCCCCTTCTACTTCTCCGTCTACTTCTTTGATGTCCTCAACCCCAACGAGATCCTGAAGGGTGAGAAGCCACAAGTGCAGGAGCGTGGGCCCTACGTGTACAGGTGAGACTGGAGGGGCTGGCTGGGGCCAGGTGGGGGAGGGGTCTCAGAGTGGACAGGGTGGGGCTGCTGTGCTGAGCCCGAGACTGTTCCAGAAGCAGGCCAGGTGCAGAAGAGGGGCGTGATGGTGCTGGGGATGTTCTTTATGGAACAGTGAGGCACGAGGGATGTGGATCTGAGTGGAGGTGTTGTGTGTGTCCCCCTCTCTCACACATTCCCAGGGCCGTTCTCTACCAGGACCAAGAGCAGGGACCTACTCCCCAGCCCTGTCCAGAACAGAGGATTGGGCGGGTGAGCACAACCATGCTGGCCACATGCCTGGCATTGTGCCTTTGCTTTCTGGCCTTGCCTTACCTGGCTGTGGCCTCGGGGGAGTGACTTCACCCCTCTGAGCCTCAGTTTGTCCACTTGCCGACTGGGGGCAATGACGACATAGCAGCTACTTTGTCGGGTTGTCAGACACTTGCACGAGATAAGGATACGCTCAGAGTGATTAAGACAATGTGCCAGGGCGCGGTGAAGCATGCCCCAAGTGCACATGCCTTCTTACTGCACTTTTTATCTCATGGAGTTGCTGTAGCACCCCTCCCCCTCTGCATTATCGTTCCCTTTTGTAGGTAGAGGAATCGGGGCTCAGAGAGATGAACTGACTTGCCCCTGTCACATGGAGGTGGCCGGTAGGGCGGGCTGGACCTCAGGACTGGCTGCCTGCTCTGTCTGAGCCTTTGGACCTCGAACTGTGCCTGGTGGAGCCAGGGGTGCCCCTTCTGAGGGGTGAGTGACCCCGCCCTGGATCTCCTGGGGATGGAGTGGGCAGAGAACGTTCTGGCTGTTTGAGATGCACAGTTTGGTTCTGGGAAACCTAGGATGAAAACTCAACAAATGCACCTGAAACATTGTGGAGCCGGAAACATTAGAGTCAGCTGTATGGATTTGTGGGCTCATTCATTCATTCACTCATTTATTCAGTAAATGTTTGTTGAGCACCTAGTAGGAGTCAGCTGCTGTTCTGGGCACATGGGAACCAGCAGTGGACATGATGGGCGGGTGCCCGCCCCAGGGTGCTTGTAGTGGAGTCAGGGAAGTTGGAGGAAGATAAATAAGTAAAACCATAAGTCAGCATCGAGTGCTAAGAAGAGAGTGATAAAGCAGGGGAGGGACTAGGGAGGGTGGAGAGTGTTTAAGCCTTTGGTAAGAAGACCAGGGTGGGCCTCTCTGAGAAGGTGACTGGTGAGCAGAGACCTGGAGGAGGGAAGGGAGCCATGCAGGGCTGGGGCAAGAGTGTCCCAGGCAAGCGAACCCATAGTGCAAAGGCACTGAGGCAGGGGCATGGTGAAACTAGGTAGCAGTGAGGAGGCCAGCCTAGGTTAAGAATCCCACTTGGGCCCAGAGCCACAGGGCCTGGGAGCATTGCTGCCAGCGTTAGGGTTTCTAGAGCACTCTCTGCAACAACCCTCTGAGGTACGGAGGGTTATCACTGCATTTTACAGATGAGGAAACTGAGGCCCCTAGAGGTGGAGGGGCTTGCTTGAGGTCACATGTTTCTCCCAGTCTGGTGCTCTAGTCGTTGAGACTTTGGATTCTGGAGAGTGACTGCCCGGATTTAAAATGTGGCTTCGCCACTCACCAGCTCTCTGCTCATGGGCAATGGGCTTTCTTTCCCTATGCCTTGATTTCCCTGTGTGTAAAATGGGGATAACTGTACCCTCCTGCTGCTCTTTGTTGAATCATTTTCTTTGGGAGAACGCAAATCTGCAGGTGGTACCAGATGCGTCAAATTAACAGAAGTAGTTTTCCGAGGGACTGTTGGAATACAAAATCCGATTCTGACCATTCTGCCCTCCTGGGCCGAGCAACTTCATGAAACCAGGATCCCAGCTGAGCTCTGCTGTGGAAAGGCTTCTGAGTTGGAGCCCAGCCTGGCTTGCCAGTGCCTATAGTTATTCCTTCATTCTGTAAGCATTTATTGAGTGCCTCCTGCTCCCAACCCAGACAGATGAGACCCTGCCTCACAGAGCTGATGTTCTAATGGGGAAAGGGCAAATAAGCTGGCAAGTAGCGAAATCAGGCAGCAGTAAGTGTGATGAAAACAAAACGGAGACATGCTGGAGAGTGCTGGAGGGAAGGTGTCAGCAGGGCTTGGACTAACTGGAGGGTCAGGGAGGACCTCTGCAAAGGGGACACTTACTGGATCTGAATGGTGAGAAGAAGGCGCTGGGGGAAGGAAGGTCCCAGACAGAGCATATGCAAAGGCTGAGGCAGGGAAAGGCAGCCTTTGTGGCTGGAGTGTCATGGTGGGGGGGAGTGGGAACGACCAGGCCTGAGGATTGGGCTGGGCCAGCTGGGGGAGGGCCTCGGAGGCCACATGAGGAGCTCCACTGGGGGTTGTGGCCAAGAGAATGACACGATCCGATTTCCACTTTTGAAAGATTCTTCTAGATGCTTTGTGGAGGATGGATTGAAGAGGCAAGAGATAATAATGAAAACAATAACAATAATAATAGCTGCTAATATCTGTATAGTGTTTCCTTTGCATCAGGTGATTGTTTTAATTGCTTTATGTGTATTAACTCATTTAATCTTCACAGCAACTCTACAGAGGAGATCTTGTTATGACTCCCATTTTATAGATAGGAAAACTGAGGCACAGGTAGAGAGTGATGGAGACAGGATTCCAGCCCTGGCCCTCTGGCATGTTCCTTACTACCTACCGTGCTCCACTGCCTCCCTTGAAGGAGCAGGGACATGCAGGAGTAGGCTGGTGTGGTCTCCGCAGCTTGGTGAGGGGGAGAGGGAGGTGTCAGGATTTGGGGTGCTCTGGGGAACAGACTTGGGGAGGTGGTCACGCCTGGCTTTGGCACTATCAGGTAGGAGATGTATATGGACATTCCAGGGCCCCACAGCCTCCCGGTGGGTGCTGCAGGTGAGTTGCTGGGAGTGTCCCCACTCAGGTGGGGCCAGCTGATCCAGCGGCTTCCCCCTACAGGGAGTTCAGGCACAAGAGCAACATCACCTTCAACGACAATGACACGGTGTCCTTCCTTGAGTACCGCAGCTTCCATTTCCAGCCCGACAAGTCTGGTGGCTTGGAGAGCGACTACATCGTCATACCCAACATCATGGTCTTGGTGAGGCTGCCTGCCCTTGTCCCTCGAGGGGTTCCCTTTCTCTTCCCACCTGCCCCTTGCACGAGGCAGTTCCCTGAGGTGGGCAGAGCTTGGTGATCCTCCCCCACAGTGGGTGCTCTTGGCCCTGTGCTGTCTCAACTGCCCCCCCTGAATTCTGAGTTTCCTGGGCTGGCCCACCTGTCTCTGGCTTGCAAGTACTGGCCAGGGTCATTTTCTTTTCTATTCCGTCTGCAACTCTGAACTCTCCAAAGGGAGGTACCTTGTGGGGGACTGAATGGGCACTGATAGTCTCTGGTCTGTGGCATTTGGGGGAGGGTGTGGGCAAGACCTCTGCTCTGTGGGTGACAGTCATAGTTATAGTTATTTGATTTGTGTTTCCTGAGCTTGTCATGTGTGTGGCGTTCCCAGGAACACCCCCTGGTTTACTGATTCACAGGACTCAGCATAAAGTCGTACCCACGGCTGTGATTTATTACAGGAAAAGGACACAGAGCACAATCAGCAAAGGGAAAAGGCACATGGGTGAAGTCCAAGGGACACCAGGCTCAAGCTTCCAGAGTCCTTCCCCCATGGAATCCCACAGGACATGCTTAATTCCCCCAACAATGAGCTGTGTGAATGCGTTGCGTGTGAAATGTTGTCTACCAGGGAAGTCTGCTAGAGACTCAGGGTTCAGGGTTTTCACTGGGAGCTGGTCACGTAGGCAGCCTCTGCTTGGCACCTAGCAAAATCCCAGAAGCCCAGAGGAAAGCAGGTGTTTGACATAAACTACATTATTTGCAAAAACAGCCTGGGCACAGTGAGCTGCTGTTATCAAGGGATGAAGGGAACCTTCCCGAAATCCAAATTTCCAGACTCCAGCTGAGGGCTTGCCTTGCCAGTAGCCTTTCTAGGGCCAGATAGTAAATGTTTCAGGCTTTGAGGCCTAATGGGCCCTAAAAAGGGTCTCCTTGGCAGCCGCTCAACTCTGCCATTGTAGCTCAGAAGCAGCCAAGGACAGTAATGAGAAGGAATGGGTGTGGCTTGTTGCTATAAAACTAACTTTGTGGATGCCGAAATGTGAATTTTGTGTATCTCTCAAGTTTCTTGGAATATTCTTTTTTTGATTTTTTTCCCCAACCATTTGAAAATGTTAAAAACATTCTTAGCTCATGGGCTGTACAAAACAGGCTCTGGGCCGGTTTTGGCCGTGGGCCGGAGTTTGCTGACCTTGGTGTAGATTATGTTCGGAAGGACACCCAAGAACCTGCAGCAGCAGCAGCAGCAGCAGCAGCAGCAGCAGCAGCAGCGGGCTGCCTCAGGGAGGAGAATGGGGAGACGAGAGCCAGGGATGGGAGAGGGACTTACATCCTTTTGTGAGTTTTTAAAACTGTGTGTATATTACCTTTAAGAAATTATTAGAGAATGAAGGAGTCCCTGGTAAGTTCCCACGGAACCAGACTGCTATGACCCATGTTTCAGGAAATGCTAGATGTGTTCACATTTCTAGAGGTGGAGATTGGCTTTTAGATGATGTGCCTTCAAGAAAATAAACTGAGAGTGAAGACGGTATCTCCAGAAGAAAGCAAAAATTGACAAATTCCAAATTGACAAAAATTGACTATAAGCACCTAGGTACTGGGTGGAAGAGATGTCTGGGGCTCTTGATGTTTAGATAGGAAGGAGATGATAAGAAAGTAGAGTAGAGTCACCATTAAGGCTCTCTTTTTGTCGCAAATGGGAGTAAAATGTGCTCCAAAGTGCCTCATGCCAAAAGGGAATTTATGGGCTCCTGTTACTGAAAGGGTAGGGTTGTGCTAGTTTCAGGTATGGCTCAATCCAGGTGCAAACAGTTTTGCTGGGATTTGTGCAGGCTTTATTCTCTGGCAGGCCTGCCCTTCAAGGTGTCTATAGGCTTGTACACCCCAGGGTCACATGGCCAGTGGGGGGACCTGCACTCTCTTTCCTCTAGCCCCAGCAGAATGTCTCCTCGTGGCTCCTTGTCTCTGACTGGGCCACATCCACATTCCCAAACCAAGCACTGTAGCCAGAGGGAGGCAGGTTTCTTTTCTTTTTTTAAAAAAAATGTATTTTATTTTGTCAATATACAATGTAGTTGATTTTTGTGGCCCATCACCAAAACCTCCCTCCCTCCTCCCGCTCCCCCCTCCCTCCCAACAACCTCCTATCTGTTCCTTGTTGTGTCAACTTCAAGGAATTGTGATTGTTGTGTCTTCTTCCCTCCCCCCCCCCAGTTTATTTGTGCATTTATTTATTTATTTTTAGCTCCCACAAATAAGTGAGACCATGTGATATTTCTCGTTCTGTGCCTGACTTGTTTCACTTAATATAATTCTCTCTAGGTCCATCCATGTTGTTACGAATGGCAGTATTTCATTCTTTTTTATAGCAGAGTAGTATTCCATTGTGTAGATATACCACAGTTTCTGTATCCACTCATCTGATGATGGACATTTGGGCTGGTTCCAACTCTTGGCTATTGTAAATAGTGCTGTAATGAACACTGGAGAACAGGTATACCTTTGACTTGATGGTTTCCATTCCTCTGGATATATCCCCAGCAGTGGGATAGCTGGGTTATATGGTAGATCTATCTGCAATTGTTTGAGGAACCTCCATACCATTTTCCATAGAGGCTGCACCATTTTGCAGTCCCACCAGCAATGTATGAGAGTTCCTTTTTCTCTGCAACCT